GAGGATTGCCAGGTCATCTGCGTAGCTAACGGTTTTAAAGCCAGCTAGTTTGAGGCGTTTCATCAGGCTATCCAGGGTGAGATTCCACAGAAGTGTGGTAACAGCCCTTTGTAGGGTGGCGTGGCTAGCCCTTAATTTAACGATTCTATGCCTTAGAGTGCTCTCGATCCAACCACATAGGGTTGGAGGAACGTTATGCTCTAACAAGGCCTCGTTTATTCCGGAGAAGGTGGTTTTGTCAAAAGCGCCTTCCACGTCAATGAAGACAACCAGGGCGGACTCTTTGTGGTACATTCATATATTGCGAGTTATATGAAATTGCGTATTTGTCTAATTATCTTGGCAGGAAGCCAACGAGTTGTGCTAAGCTAACGAGTCGAGCTACTCAAACTGTTTTCGGTCTTTCTGGAATTTTCTTGTTTTTGACCATATCCTTTATCTTTTAATAATCAACATCGTGAGATCATTGGATCACTCTGGATAATCTGTCAGAATGTTTTTTTAACACCAATTTTCTATGACTGAGTTCTCAATGTCGTAGTTATCGCACATAAATAGCACAATACGAGTTACTCACTTAGATCTTACTTGCAAGATAGAACTCAGAGAGTAAAAATAAATTTTAGTTACAGCTCACATGGAAAACTATCCTGTGATGAGCCCCAAGGTACAGTTCTGGGGCCACTCTTGTTCTTAATTTATATTGATGATCTTTGAAAGTTGGATTAAATTGTAAAATGATATCTTACGCACACCTCTTGTTTAAAAACCCAATATGGTGAGATCTTTTATTTTTACCCAGAGACGATATATTCTTCAACTTTGAGAAAACTAGTTTCATCACTTTCTCCATACACACTGATTCTCAACCTACAGTCAACGACTTCTGTCAACAAATTGATTATGATTGTCCTAAAATTATTAGAGTTAAGATAAATATCCATGTTGCAAGTAAAATTTGAATATAGAATTAAATAAAACAAAATATCTTAACTTTGCACTTGCATAAATATTTTAATCGGGACCGGTTTCGAATCTATCTTAGATAGATTAATTGCAATATTTTTACTTCTATATAGTTTTCGGCTGAGGATGGAGTTGTAAACTTCGAAACCGGTCCCGATTAAAATATTTATGCAAGTGCAAAGCTAACATATTTTGTTTTATTTAATTCTATAAAATTATTAGTTCTGTGAAATATCTCGGCGTTGTGGTGGATCAGTATTTCAGGTGGGATGTCCATATTAGCAATACGTGAAAAAAAAATTAATATCAATAATGTTCTTGATAAAAAAGCTGTCACCTCATGTGTCAAGCGCTTTCATGAGGAAATATTACTTTGCGATGGTTGAGGCAAATTTGAGATACGACATTATTGCTTCGGGATATTTACTTAGAAAAGTTACGCACAATTCAAAGGTTGATTTTAAAAACTTTACTTAATGTGGATATAAGATTCTAAACTCATCAATTACACAGGCTGACAAATTTTTAAACCAAAGACTAGACTATGGGCTATACATATCAAAAGTGTAAGTTTATATGAAACATTTGAATGTCTTCAGGTAAAGTGCCATTTCCGGTTAGTGGATTTGGTCCAAAAGTTGTTTAAGAGCTTTCGATTTTGGTTTAATAGCTATATACCAACGGTAACTGATTGCGTTTTTAAGTTATCGTGTTTACACACATTATTACATACGAATGTACGTACATAAATACGCACAAGCATTTTCTGGGAATGGTCAATATCAGGACTCAGGGGACCTCAAAACGTGTATATCCATCAAAATGTCGAGGTCGAATCTTTGCACGATTACAATACTTTGTCTCATATACTTCGTATATAGTGCGAGAAAGTAAAAATTAATTTACAATATTTTTCTTTGGTATACTTTATATAACAATGAAACTTCATAACTTTCACTTATTCTCGAATATTTTTAAATTAATTTATTTTTTATTGTATTTAATTTTGTATTTTTAAAACTTCTTTTCTATTTATAACAGTTTAGATGTTATTTTAGTTTCTTATGATAACTATCGCGCATCAATTCAAACGATCACTTAACACTCTTACGCTTATATTGAGCAGCGTTATCGTTTCTTTTCAAAGACCAGCAGTAGTCAGAAATCATTCTTTCATCCCATCTACCTTGATAGTGTCGCTCTTTTTCTTTCAAATCCTGATGGAATCGTTCACCTATTTCTTTGCTGAAGGCTCCTACATTTTCCTGAAAGTAATCTAAATGGGAAAATAGGAAATGTAGCTTCAAACTCATTAAACAGCCTAATTTTTTAAAGTTTAATAACATTGTCGATACAATGTTTTCATATTGTGGGTCCCGATGGTTGCCCAAGAAATTTTGTACAACTTCTTAACTTAACCAAGCATTTTTGCGTTATCTGTTATTGTTCTTATAAAATCGTCATCTTTCATTAAGTTTCTTATATCAGGCCCCATGAAAATACCTTCCTTAACTTTAGCATTACTTAAATTTTGAAATGCAGACTTAAGGTATTTAAAACAGTTTCCATCAGTATTTAAGGCTTTTACGAATTGTTTGATCAAGCCTAATTTGATATGGAGTGGAGGTAACAAAATACGCTTTGTGTCAACAAGACTCTTGTAAACAACATTGGTGGAACCAACTTTCCAATCAAATCTTTCAGGCCACTTTTTTTTAATCCAATGTTGTTCTCGGGCCCGACTGTCCCAAATGCAGAGAAAGCAAGGATTTTTTTGTATTTCCTGATTGTAAACCAACCAAAATATTGATCATTTTAAAGTAGTCACCACATATAAACCAGTTGTGGATGTTGTAATTGATTTTTTCGAGTACAAATTGAAAGTCTTCGTATGATTCTTTTTGCCTGGTGGAATGACCAATTATTCAGTTATGGAGCAACACTGCTTTAAGGCGTTCTTTAGAAGAATCTATAAAGAGAAGCCAGTCATCGGACTTATACACATCTACTTGATATGTATTGATAAGTTCTTCTATATCATTACAATAAACTAAGAAATTTTCACTAGAAAAATATTTCAGAAATTCCTCATCTCTTCTTCTGTACGCTGTAATTTTTGTTCCGGGTAACAACATGTTCCTCTCTTTAAGTCTTGAAGTCAATAATTCAGCTGAATCTTTAGAAAGAATAAGATCGCGAATAAGATCATCTAATGAATCTTGATCAAAAAGTTCAGGGTCTTTGGCACTAACAGAATCCTCATAATCACTGTTCTTTTCACTTTCAACAGAACTCATTTTTTCCAAACAACATTCATGTTTATTAGGTGGTACTTTGTCTAATCTCGCTATTTTTCCTTTCTTGGCTGGTGTTACGCTTTGTACGTTAGAATATAATATGTTTCCTTTATTTTTTTTATTACAACCTGTTATTCACAGGCACAGAAGTAACAGTCTTCATTGTGATCCTTAGGCACGTACCACATGGTTGGTGTAATGATAACTTCCTTTTTCATATCGTTCCAATTAATCAGAGTTAATCTACAAGTAGTACAAATAGACGGTTTAACTAAATTTCTCATAGGTATGTTCTAACATTCTACAAATTTTTTTAATCCATTCATTAATGGTTCTGCGATAAGGACGTGTTTCGAAGTTTCCGCAAAAAAGTCACTAAGGAATAAGCTTTCCGCCTCATATTTTTTTATATTAATATTAAACCGTTTTAATTTTTTTTGTAGAAAATCCAATATGGTTGTGATTTTCATCTTATAAAACGCTATAGAGCTTAAATAAAAAATAATATGTAAATTGTCTCTTTTTGAATGAATAAATCTCGTAAACAATCATTTTATTTTTGTAAATACTGCTATAGTTTTCCCATTAAAACTACAACTTTGCTAACAAACCAAATAAATTCATAAAAATTAACTGGATTTTGAATGTCCAGATAACAATGAAACATTTTTTTGAACTAGTGTTTGGAATTTAGACATTATTCGCGTAGGAGCATTATTGGAACGCGGAGTGTTGTGGAGAGGACTTGTGGAAAATCTTAACGACATGATGAATGAAACTGGTAATTTCTTGTGACTTGATTTCTTATCAAATTGTTACTTAAAGACAAAAATTTAAAAAAAGCCTTTTAAACTTATCCATGATACATTTTCTTTTTTTGTAAAATAATCTGATTAAGATAATATTTGTATTTCTACCTGCCCCAGCTGATAAATGCTTTTGTAAATATTTCTCTAAGATGCTTACTTCCTGTGGGCGAAAATATCCCAAGATATATCGTCATGTTTAAAATTATCAAAGCGATTTGAACCATTCAAAGCCTTAGTTACAAATCTTTATAAACCGATTTTTAAACATGACCTCTCTTTAAAATGTAAATACAATTATTGTATACTCAATTTACTATAGCATGTATTGTATAAATGCCTAAGCGGATGAGGAAAAGGCTATTAAAGGGGGCAATTGAGCAGAGACGCTCATACAATCGACTTCTAAACACGCGACCTGCTCTTACTTACACTATACTTCAACAATAAACGTTTCACCGGGTGTTTATCTACTTAAACAAACAATGTTACGTTTACCTACCGTTTCTATTCTACTATAGTCTTTAAAAATTATTGTTTTTTTATAATTTTTTGTCGAATCATTTTTATACTACCAATTAACAACGTATTCTTTACATTTATTGACGTCAATTGTTTGATAAGTTTCAGATAAGTTTCATTTCGTTTTATTTCAACGCGAAAATACTTTTTGATTATCTTTTCACTGTTCATTGTGTTAGATATTTACAATAACTTTCGTTGATCTTTAGAACTATAAAAATATTAAAGCAATAAAAGTTAGATAAAGATTTTTTTGATTTTTTCATTAACAATTAATGATAAAATTTAATCTTTTATGAAAATAATAAAATTTATTTATCCTTAATACCTGTTAGTTATGCAACATTACTTGCATCTTTTAAGTTTTATACAAAATTATTATGCAACCCAAATTACAAAACAAATTGTCAAACATCAATGAGATTTTTATAGGTTAGTTTTCCTAACCTCACTTAACCTAACAAAAATTCTTTAAAAAAATGTCATTATTAACAAAAAGTAAGTTAAATTAAATAATTTAACCTTAATTACACCTTAATTATCTATTATATTCTTATAAAGGCGCATTCGAGATCATTTTTCCCAGTATTTTCTCAAAAACAATCACACCGTCAATTTTTGTCACTCAAACTAGGAATTATGCAGCTAGAAAGGGTTACAGGGAGCAAAAGGCTAAGTCAAAAGTAAAAGTTGAGGTGACAAAATCAAAGTTTCAAGTTAAAAAGAAGGAAAAGTAAGTTATCCTTAAAAATGTTAAATAAATTGATATAAAATTTTTTTTGTTATAAATAAGTTTACCACAAAAAGGTTCAACACGCAAATTTGACGATTCATGGAAAAAGTTAGCCTCAGATAATGTTTACCCTCAAAAATATTATCAATGGCCTGTTTATAATTTCGAAGATGCAATTAAAGCCCATCGTGAAACTCATCACCCCCAATTATACAACCAACCAAATGCTTATGTTCATGTTACTGTTGATTTGAATATGGCTGGGGAGAAAAAGAACAAATTCTTAGAGAATTTTACAAGGGTAGCATTTGCTCCTCATAAATTTGAACATGGGGAAGAAAGAACAATTATTGCTTTCACCAAGTTACCAGAAACAATTCCCCAATTAAAAGAAGCCGGTGCTTTACATGCTGGTGGTGTTGAGTTAATTAAACAAATTCAAAATGGTGCAATTAACATACAAGATTTTCAATACGTCATCGCCCATCCAAATATTTTACCAGAACTAACTGTTTTGAGGGGGTTAATGAAGAAAAAATTCCCTCAAACTAGAAGTGGAAATTTAGAGGTTGATTTAGTAAACACCACTTTAAAATTTTATCATGGGATTAATTACACTGGAGTTAAAGATGAGTATGAGAAGGATTTTGGTACAATTGATACAAGAATTGGAACGGTAAAAATTATTGATATCTTTACATTTGATTTATTAAAATAATATGGTTGTAGCTGAACATGGAACCTTCTGAATTAGAAGAGAATTTTTCTTATTTTATTAATGATGTGTATCAACAAAGGCCTAAAAGAGCTGGTGGGTTTATAATGAGAACTGTATTATGGAGTCCTCCATCTGGGGAAAAATTTAAAATCGATTATAATCTTTATCTTAAATCAACTGAGGAGACCAATAAAAGTAATGATGAGGTTGATGTGAATGAAGGTGAAGAGGTTGTTGAGGAGAAAGAACGTGTTGTTGCTGGTTAAAATAGTTTTTAAGAAAATTAAATAGAGAAATAAATAAAAATGCCAAATTATTTTGAATTTGTTTATTAAGTGTCAAAGCCCATATTCATCTTATGATAAATGGGCATACTAGGACTTCTTCTTTAGCCCTTGAGTACATGATTAAGCGACTTATTAAGTATCTAGTAGTAGAATTTTTAACAAACTTTGCAAACAGTCAAAATAAGACTTCTCAGTATAGATAGGCTCAAACTGTTGAAAATTGTATGGTGCGATTATACAGGATGTTTCTGTAAGTCGTGGCATAAATTTAACCACAAATACTAGAGTCAAAATGATGATTCATGTAAAAATTTTTGAAGAAAATATTCTAAAGTTTGATTTTTATTTTATATAGAATTTAAGTCTAACTAATTTTGGTCCTTGGCCATCTTCAGACACTCTACAAATAGATTAACATCTCTCATCTTATCCATTTTACAAACGAATTTCGTAATATTTCTTTTTCTTTTGTTAAAAAAGATCACATATCAAAGTCGAAATCAGATTATTAGTTACTAATTTACAAAATTAAAGTTTAAAAAGTTGTAAAATGAAATTAAGGACAAAGTTATATGATAACTAACTTCAGGTTTAAAATATCAACCTCAATATTGACATCATTGAGGTCTTATATATAATCTAGAGAGCGTATGTGGTGGTGGTGGGGGTAATCAGAAAGTCAGACATGTTGGATGTGCCGACCTGACTATAGTTTCAAGTCTCTATTGTACCTACAATTATAACCTCACAATTCTCATAAACATATTGTTATTTTTATTAAAATTTGATTTTTGTTGAAAGTTTTCGAATTCTTTTCGTTTTGACATATGTTTTTTATAATTTGCTAAGTTGGACGATTATTTACAACAGTCCATAAAATGTTTCTGGTTAGTTGACTTGGAATTAACAATTGAAGACCTCGGTATAAGAAGGGGACAACTCCTTCTGCTCCTTCTCTTGATAAATGAAGCTACTCCCTTCTTGCACCGAGGTCTTCAATTGAAGTTCAAGTAAAGTTTATTATTAAGGACTGTTCCTTAAATATTTTCTTCTTAGTTTGTTAATTATAAGAGTCATGGCTAAAAATTATTAAGTTCTTTTAAAATATCATATAATTAATAATTATTTATCAATAAATATTAATGTTTTGTTTTGGTTATTATTTTCTGTCTTTCCAGTTTATAAATAATGTAAATTCTTGCATAAGTATATATAAGAATTTCGAATTTCCTGCTAAGTTGGTACATCTATATAAGACCTCAATGATTAACATATTTGTAGTCTTCATTAAAAATCTTTTAAAATGAGTACAAACACGACATATTTATCTTCAATATTAATGTCAACGTCAATTTTGACATATTTGTAATCGTCGTGAAAAATCCTTTAAAATGAGTCCAAACATGATACGTTTAATTCCAATATTACTCGAGATATAAGTAACTTCCGGTTAGGAATGTCAATGTCATTTTGACATATTAATTTTTATAAAATGTCTTAATATTTGTCACAAAAACAAAAATATAATAAAAAAAAAAATAAGGCTGGTAGTAATATTTAAAAATTAAATTGCAACTATCTTCATTGTTGCTAACTTCGGGTTTAATGTTTTTTATTCCAACTTTTTTGTTTTTTGAGATAAGTGCGGATAAAGGTTTTTTAATGAAGATGATAAATATGTCAAAATTGACATTGACGTTTCAAACCGGAAGTGACTGTATCTCCATTAATATTAAAGTTAAATAGGTCGAGTTTGGACTCATTTTAAAGGATTTTTTATGAAGTTGACAAATATGTCAAAATTAAAAGTTAAAAGTTCGAACTTTTGAATTTTTTGAGATAAATGCGTCATGTTTGGGCTCACTTTAATGGTTATTTTATGAAGATTACGAATATAATGATAAAATTAAAGTTGACATTTTTCAGTTTTTTTCACGACTAAACCCGAATGTTTCTAGTTCTCGTTCTAGTTTTAGTTCAATAAAAATATAGTAGTATAACATACAGTAAACTTCTAGATACCGAACACCGATGTAACGAAATTATCATTATTGCCAACCAAAATTTTGCCACAAATGTCTTAAACACATTTTATATGGCACTTTTTTCATTATAATGAACTACGAACAATTATTTCATCCGTAGAATATAATTTCAATGCAAACTATTATCGTAATTGAAATTTAAAAATTTTTCTTGTCTACTCAGTCTAAACCATATTCCAGCTAGTTTTTAGTGTTTAGCTTTGGAAGTAGACGAGTTACGACTTACTTGCTTCGCAAACGTTTCGGGTTGAAGCCAAGATGTATCAAGATGTTTTTAATATTAATGAGACTGGTATTTCTTTTAATCTAATGCCAAACTGTACTTTGGATTTTAAATTCAAAAAATGTTATGTGGGCACTAAAAGCAAAGAAAGAATAACAGCAGTTTTTAAATTAAAACTATGGATAGTAGGAAAATCAAAAAATCCAAGATGTTTAATTAAATTCGATCGTCCCCATTTGCTATGTCATTATACTGCTCAGAAAAATGCCTGGGTAACTTATGTAGTATTTCGAGAATGGTTTCTTCGTTTTTAACGCAACATGGCAGCTCTAGACAGAAAAGTGTTGTTAACAATGGACAATTGTCCAGCACATAACGTTATGGGAATTGATTTGCGCAATGTTAACGTCGTTTATTTTCCAGCTAACACAACAAATGCACTGCAATCTTTTGATCAAGGAATAATTGCGGTTATGAAGAAACGATTTGTCGATTGATGTAATTTACCACGATGATCTTTTTATACGTTAGGTAGCACAATGTTCAACGCAGATAACATATTCGTCTTGGTATCAAAGTCTGGTTAACTGACTTCTGCTCATATGAAAAATTTGCTACAAAATGTCTATTTCCCAAACACTGGACCCAAATCATTACTATTATTGGATTGTTGGAGTGGCCACTGCCTTGAAATTATTAGTGAAGTAAGTCCATCGGATGTTAAGTTTAAACATATGTCTATACCTATGTATTTGGTTTTAAAATATGGAAAAATTTCATTAGAAGATTTTCTGATCATGTTATTCTCTACCAATACGATGTCAATATGCATCAGCGCGATAATATTTTAAAATTGTAATCCCTAACGCATAACCAGTTGTCTTCCCCACGATTTATTAATGTTTTTAAATACGCGTGGTTTGCATCTGGATATACAGAGGAGAGACCAGAACAGTTTGAAAATCCCGTGGAGGTTTGCTTTTTTTAAAAACTTATAAAATATACATATAGTTTAATTGATAATGAATCATTAATGTTGAATTTGATTTATTTATGGTTTTATTGGGAAGACATTTATAAAAAAAGTCCATATTCGTCCATATTAAACACTTCATCAGGCTGATAATCTTTCAATATTGCCAGCCATTTGGGTTACCATTGATCACAAACCGTTTCTGATCGTGAAATTGCTTGAAAATCGTCAAGGCCCAAAATTTTTGCATATTCAATTGCTTTTTCTTTAATAAATGGTCCTGAGATCGGCACCTTTTGGCTTCGCATCATTGTTACCCACTTTAGCACTGCTTCGTCTATAGAATTAAACTTACACTATTTTAACTTTTTTCTTTCTTCTTTCCCAGCTTTTCCACTTCTTAAAACTGTTCCCCGATTTTTTATAATTGTCATTTTTCTGCATGCCAAGGTCGACATCCTTTGAAATGTTAATTTTGTCAGAGACACTTTCGCTTAGACATCGCTAAAATGAAATTACAGTAAAAGTTCTATCTCTACTAACCGCTGTCCCGCCGATCAGGTGCCTATGCAGAAACATAAAAGTACGTTTATACAGATTTGCTGTTATAGGCCCCATACACCTGCAAACAAATTGTATAGTGTATGGTGTTGGTTGATGCGTTGCGCAACTGGTTGCAGAAATTCAAACTTGTTTGAAATTAGTTGCGCAATAACGACAGTTTCATTGTACCACATAAAATGTAACAGCTTAACAGTACTGGCATTGGATAGTTTTGCAAAGGAAAGGTTATGTTTGAAAAAAGGTGACATCCTTATAACAACCCTGAGCTTTCGGTCGTCTTAAGATACGCAGGGCTAAACCCGAATGATTCTAGGTCTAGTGTTAACTTTACATTTTGTTCAATAAAAATATACCAGAATCTAACGGTAAATAACAATTAAAACTAGAATTAATACTAGATCTAGAAACATTAATGTTTAGCTGTTCGTCTCTCAAGACGGCTAAGTCCAAATGATTCTAGTTCTAGGTCTTGTGTTAGTTCTAGTGATAGTCCTACTGTAAAACTAGAACTAACACTAGACCTAGAACTAGAAAGTATCGGGTTTTGACCTATCCTAACATTCTTTCACGCTATGATTAGGGTTTCAAAACAAAACTGACCTATCCTAACATTCTTCACTCTTTAATTAGGGTTTTTTCACGGTTTAATTGGAATCAGAAGAAAACTACCTGTCTTAACATATCGTCGCGCTATAATTAACAACAATCTAGCGCTGAATAACATAAAAATTGTCTAAATGTATAATGAGTAGTTTATAGCAAGTCCAAGTTGTTCAGAACTACTGAAAACTGCACCAACATTGTCCAAAATTGTTCAAAATGTTTGGACATAGGTTCATAGCCATTTCATGTTGCTCAAAATGACTGAAAACTAGTTAAAATGTATAAGCACTAGTTTATAGCAAGTCCAGGTTGCTCAGAACAAATAAAACCTGCACCAACATTGTTCAAAATTGGTTCATAGCCATTCCATGTTGTCCAAAATTATTGAAAACTGATTGAGCATTGTGTAATACTTGTCTAAATGATTAATAACTAATCTAGGTTGCTCAAAAGAGCTATACTCGAATTTTTCTAATTTTTGGTGGTTCTAATGATCTAAAAGTAGCACTGAACAACAATTAAAACTAAAACTAGACGTAGAACTAGAATCATTCGGATTTAGCCGTCTTAAAAGACGTACGGCTAAATCCGATTGTTTCTAGTTCTAGGTCTAGTGTTAGTCTTGTATTATATTTTGTTATTCAGGACTAGATTATTGTATATTTTTATTGAGCTGTAACGGACACTGCTTTCCCCGTGTAATGTTTAAACTCTTCTTTTCATTCTCTGTATAATTACTTTATGGGTTTGGACTGTAATTTAATTAAAATCGCTTATTTAGTTATTTATATTAATCCGATATATCGAGGTTTTACTGTAATGTCAAATTATATTGACATAGACAAAGTAAGTAGGTACGCCTTGGTTTCTAGGGAAATATATTTTAGTATATTGCATCTTAAGTGAAATTCACTGTATAAGTGATGTTACCATGACCAATAATTCACCAAAAGTAGTGGGATGCATTCGTAAATAATTTTTATAGTCTAATGGTGAACTCAACTTAAGTTCTTTGAGAAGATTTGCGTGGTCACCACTCTCATCCATACTCTTTGCTGCGTTTTTGTTTTTCTAACACCATCTTCCGATGAAACAGTAATTATTATAGCTAAACAATCTGCTTTTTCAGATGGCACGTTTCTATGCGTACACAAGACAAGCAACTGAAGTTTGTATAATATTGTGTATAATGTATGGGTATGAAGAAATTCCTAAGGGTCTTTAAAAAAAAATTTGCTATGTAGAAGTTCGTTATGTAGAGGTCCTACTGTATGTGAAGACTTCGGAAAAGAAATAGAGGTAATATTTAAAGACAATATAAACCATAACAAAGAGTTCTGGATTATAGTTAAACATCCAAGGAAAAAGTATGGCAAATCAGCATTGGAAATATCGGGATAGAGAAAAGCAAAATACTGGACATCTGGAGCAAGCATTACCAAGGTAAGCTCAACACAAGAACCTCTGGAAATGGAGAGAGAACAAGCAATAACAGTGGAAGAAGTAAGGGAAGCGATACATAGCAAGAAAATGAGAAAGGCAGAAGTGACAAAATCAGCACCGAGATGGTCAAACACGAAGGGAAAGAAATGGGGGAATAGATCCAGAGAATATGGCAGCAAGCGTAGGATGGAAAAGGCATTCCTAGAGATTGGGAGGAAAATATCAAACCACTGCACGAGAAGGGAAACACAAAATATTGTAATATTTATACGGCCATCTGCTGGAAGTGAATGTGGGGAAGACAAGGATGATGAAGTTTTGTAAGGGTGGGAGAAAAAGAACAGAAAACTGGAGATGGGAGGAGAAAAGAGATCGAGGAGGTTAGGGAGTATACTTACTTGGGGTATGTGTTCAGGGAGGACAACAGGGAGGGGTCGCATGTGATAGCTATGGCAAAAAAGGCGAATAAGGTGATGGGACAAGTATGGGGTTGGGGGAAGAAAGTCTTTGGAAGGAATGTGGCAGCGAGGAAGATTATGTTTGAAGGTCTGGTTAGCAGTGTGATGATGTATGGGGCGGAGGTATGGGGATGGAGAGAGCAGGCAATGCTGGAGGACGTGCAAGCTAGATACTGGACATGGGTGCTTGGGTTGGTGAGAGAAACGCCGGGGTATATAGCGAGTGAAGAGGTAAAGGTGGATAAGGTCAGAGTGGAGGCGGGCAGGAGAGCAGTGAAATATGAAGAACGAATAGAAGGGAGGCCAAACTGCGGGATCTTGGGGGAGTGTTGGAGGGAAATTAGAGAGGGAAAGATCAGATATGGGAAAGGAGACAGAGACAACTATTATAGACGAGCGGGCTACTCGGTAACTGAGATAAATAGTAGACGAAGGGTATGTTGAATGGGTGCAGTGAGTTGAGGGAGGAGGAGTTGGACCGAGGTCAGATCTTAGGAGAGGGGGGAGAGGGGAAACGATTGATGAGAATCAATGGTTGTGGGGGTGAGGAGACAAAGGGATGGATGAGGGCATGATTAGGCCGAGGAGCCGAGGGTATGGAAATGGAGGAAGAGGGTAGAGGGTGAAAATAATATATTTATAAGATACAGGGTGATTCGGGAGAAAATGGAAAGATTTTAAGGACATGTCTAGGAAGCTAAAATAAGCAAAATAAGCCCATATGTTCAAATCCGATTTTCATTTGTTTGAGATATTTTGAACAATAATAATTTCAAAATTAAAGCAAAATTTATTACTAAACTAACAAACCAAAAAAACAAGTAGCATTAATTCACATTAAATTTTCGAAAACTCCACCACCCACTTCGATACACTTATTTGCGCGTTTATAAATGGACCTGGTAGCCAGTTTCAGTGAACGATGATTCGCTCTAATGAACGCCGCAGCATTAAGAATACGATCTAGTAGCGCATCCCTTGTGTCCACTTTCCTAGCATAAACTAAGGACTTCATCCATCCCCAAAGACAAAAATCTAGGGGAGTGAGGTCCGGTGATCTCGGTGGCCAAGGGTGCGGGCCTCCTCTGCCAATCCAGCGATCGCCGAAATGCGTATTTAGAAAATTCCTCACATTATTTGAATAATGAGGGGGTGCTCCATCATGTTGGAAGATCATACGTTGTCGAATATTCAAAGGTACATCGTCCAATATTTCCTCTAAATGGTCTTCCAAAAAATGTAAATAACCTTCCCCAGTAAGACGGCCATCCAACACAAAAGGACCAAACAACTGATCATTTAGAATGCCGCACCATACATTAATACTAAACCGATGTTGGAAATTGTGTTCTTGCGTGGCATGGGGATTTTCGTCCGACCATCGATGATTATTATGGTAATTGTTAATTCCATCTCGAGTAAATTGAGCTTCATCAGAAAATAATATGCATTTAAGTAATCTTCTGTTTTCACGAATCCATTGACAAAATTGTAGTCTTAATGGATAATCGCCTTCTTGGAGATTTTGTACTTTCTGCAAATGAAAAGCGTTTAAGCCTTGCCGCTTTAATGTTTTCCAAACCATTGTTTGTGGAATTTCAAATTGTATTGCCATGCGCCTTGTACTTATCCCTGGATTATTTTCTACAACATCCAGAATATTTTCTTCATGTTCCAAACTGAGCCCTTGCTGTTTTTCAGAAACAATGCTTGCACTTGGGAACATTCCACTTTCGCCAGCACGTGTAAAAACAGTTTGAAACACTTGCCTATTAGGAATTCTTCGATTCGGAAAACGACGTCGATACTCTTCTACTGAACGAACAGTATTACCATTACAAAAACCATAAACAAACACCATATCTGCATATTCTCTATGACTGAAAATGTGAGGCATTTTTATTATTTCGTAACAATTACAACTATCACTTTAATTAACATTTTGTTTCAAATTGTCATATAGGATAACGTTGTCAAACATAACTTGATTAACTTTTTAAAAAGAAAAACCTAATTATCTCGGAAACAAATGAAAATCGGATTTGAACATATGGGCTTATTTTGCTTATTTTAGCTTCCTAGACATGTCCTTAAAATCTTTCCATTTCCTCCCTAATCACCCTGTATATTAGAATGTATTAAGGGGAAAATTGTAAATATCAAAAACAATAAAATGCTTATATATACGGCCATCTGCCTGTAATCATGTATATATAAGATATACTGGAAGATAATCGAGGTAAGGATTAGACGTTATATAGATAAAGCCCTGCAGAAGGGATTAACAAGCGGCATACTGGAAAATAGGCAAATGCAAGATCATATATGGCATTCTCAACCTGAGTGCAGTGTTCATAGTATACCAAAGAAAACCATTTGGAAAATCATGAAAGTGACACAAATACCTCAGAAGTTGATCAAAGTCACAACAGCGTTGTACAATACAATAACAGGAATAGTCAGAATAAGAATTTAACATTGCACACGTCTATGGCACGAGCCTGGATGTGGGCCGAACATATGGTGAGAATGGAGTAAGGAAGAATTTAATATAATACATAAAAGATTCTAAATTCATAATGTTTTTATTTTATCTCTTATATTTATACATCCTTGTGATACACGTTACATATTTATATTTCTGGTAGCCGATTTTTCTGTTTAATTTGCCGATTTTTTATACATGCTCATGACGCGTAATTTTTTTTCTTCTGGTGCGGCTTTGTAAAAGAAAAAAATACGGAAAAATACCTCCACGGAATTCGACGGTTCAAAATATGGTAATATTTCGTCTCTTAATAAATTAACGCAATGTACAACATATACATAATATAAAGGGAAATGACTAGCACGTGTTATTATATAATTATTATATAATTTTATAATAATTTGTATATAATGATTTCAGATTAAAAAGGGAACATTTTCTAATTAATACGCACACAAAAAAAAATAATTAAATTAAAAAATCGATATTGAAAAAGATTTTTGAGACGCGGAAATTTTATTTTTTTTTTGTTTAATTTACTAATATTGTTTTAATTTTAATTTTCTTTTAATTAATGTACAAAATTAACCTACAATCGACGTTCTTTCGAAGACAGATTTTTTCTCACAACTGAAAGTTTACAGGAAGAATTTATTTATTTTTTTTTTAATTTTAAAAAAGTATCATCACTTTTACTTCAATTAAAACCTAATAATATCTAAAAGTGAACGTACTCCTTTTATTTATTACATATTTAATTTTAATCTTCACGTTTTTTTCCATTAATTCACTCTGGACAAATAAATTATGTGCACTTTACCAATTTTCGAAAGTATTATTTATAACTATGTACAAAGCGGGTCTTTAACGAGCCACTTTTTACCCCGATCATCAGAGTACCATAACCACCCGCGAATTATGATGATTATGGTGATTCGGATGGTGTTGATGCGGACTATCCGGATCACTTCCTTGCGGAACTGGCTCATTTTTAGTTGCATCCCCGTTCCATTTGCAAATATCTGGATTACTAATTTCTGTTAGTGACTTTAAAGCTTCGCAATTTGTTTCTTGTTGTTGTTGTTGAGTGTAATCAATACTTGGGGATCGATTATTTGGGGAAGAGTGTTGTTGTTGAATATGATTGTTTGATCCCCACATCAAAACGGTTTGTCTTGGTACTTCTTGAACCGTGGCTGTGGCGTTTACATTAATCGGAGAATAATGTTGGGTTGTTATAACCGAATCGTTGCTTTGAAGCATTGGGGAATCTTTTACATCTTCCATTTTTGGGGTTAAAAGTCCGCTGTTTGCTGGGGACGTTGAATGGGTTGACATTCCATCGATTGATGATGGATGTTTTATTTTTCCGCAGGATGTTGATTTTAAATCGATTTGGGCGCTCATCACTTGTACTGGTTGGATGATTCCTGAAGATGGGCTTACGGAGTACGGCCAAGATACGTCTAGGCATTTCGTGGTGGTGTTAGCCACTACGTAACCTCTTGTGCTATCAACGTACGTTGGATATTTACTTGTGTTGCCATCAACAACTTGTTGGCATGAGTATATTTTATCTTCAACCGGCATAATCGCGGTTCTATACGTTGAGTGGTGACTAGCACTGGTTGATGTTGGATCGTATGTTGGAACTGAGCCTCGTGGCATCTCCAAGAAACCATTTCCTACGTAAGGAGTTGTCGCTGAAGTGTGATACTCTGGATAATACGTACTTAAAGGTCTGTATTGGAATAAATTTTCGGTTGTTGTTAAATATCGGTTATCCAACGTTGGGGATGGATATAAACTGTGTTGGAAGTTGGTGTGACTCATATAACTCAAACTATGATCCGGTGTCGCCGTCGGATAAGGAGTTGTGTACATGTTGTAAGCTGTACAACCATCCGTGGCGATATAATCGACCGTAGCTGGCATTGGGCTGACTACCGCACCGGAAACGGTCGCGTTTGACGGTGGAGTTACTTGTCCGCTCGAAGAACCGTGCGATAATTTGCGTTTCGTTCGACATGTTGATAGAAAATCTCTTAATTGGGTTTTATAGCGACGATTAACTCGGGCTGGGGTTGTAGGTAAATTGTGTTGAACCGTCGATGAGGTGGTCGACAGCAACTGGTCGGTATCCGAAAAATAACTGTTTGGAAGACCAGCGTCTAAATAACTGACTTTAAAATCCATAGTGCGTTTACCAAGAAGATCTCTACCTTCTTCCTCCCTAAAAAATAAAAAACTTTTAACCAAACCAATAAAAGCACCTCTTTAAGCATACATTAAAGGTCTGTGCGTACTAATTACAAAATCGGGTTTTGAATTTTTATAAACCAATCTTGAGCTGGTTTGCAACCATTGCCATTGGCCTTCTTTCGTTTGGTATCGATAAGCTATCATTCCAGATGCACCAGTCTTCAATACTAAAAAGTAAATTCACAATAAACCGTTAAAATTAATTAATTAATTTTTTTAAATCTTACATTCTTGATGGGCACTAGCAACATAAGCAAGATCATCGTAATGCACCAAATCGTAGCCCCCCATGTTGGCTAATTCCGAATCTGAGTATCCAAGAAGCATTTTTCCTCTAAAACAAAAAAAATCGCAATCTTAACAATTAAATTGATTCATTAAAAATTACCTTTGATCCATTGAGACTAAAGTAAGATCTAATTTGTGCTTGCTTTTGAACATCACTTCTTTCTGAGGAATTTCTAACAACGATGGTGGCCCGAAAGGAGTGCATATTGCGAAAAGAGCCAAAGGAGGTTCTTCGGACTTCCTATTTTGGCCGTGAAGTACTTTAACCCGTCCCCTTATATCTAATCTCAAAAACCCTGAAGTATTATCCAGCAAACATCGAAATCGAACGGTAAAACTCCTCTCCAAAAGATGACAATTATCTGGGAGTAAAACATCCTGAAGACCAATATTTGCAGATTCTGGTGGAAGAAACGAGTTCCACATCAGCTGCCGTTGGAGTTCTTCTCGATCCTCGGAATGGACGAGTTCGTATACTGATTGGTGGACAATATCGGACTGAAAATCAAAGAATCTAATTTATACAAAACTTTTTAAATACAAAATAACCCACCTGATGAAACCCTAAATAACCCTCAATACTATGAGTGGCGAAGAAAACTTCTCCTTCGCAAGTTAGGATCATCAGGAACCCGTTTAGAGCCTTAAAAAACAAATAATTAAAATTACAAAGATATACTTAATTAATATAGGTTTATCATCATTCGTTATTCGCGTACAGTGAATTAGATGCGCGAGTCAACGTCGTTTAACGACCGTTAATGGCTTGCTAATCACATGTTAATGGCATTCATAAGCTCAGCACTTGCTCGCACGATAGCTGCACACGTGCTCGTTGGGGATATTTGTCACTTTGTAAAGGCGAATTTACATCACAAGAGGAGAGAACTCACCTGAAGGAACATTTCACCGTCCAACGGCGTGTGGTCGAAGGCAGTTAAGTCCCTTGGTCTGTGCAGGGATCCATTTTCATCTTTTTCTTTGTGCATAACGACTACAAAAAATTAAAAAAATAATTAATTAAAGATCCAAAAAAGTTATGATCATAAATCCCCATTAAGAAAAAGAAGGGGAAATAAATCGATATCTCTTCGATTCTCGTATAAAACTCACCGAGGGGTGAGCTTAAAGCTCTATTAGTCTATTATATCAATAACACCTGCCCCGAACGATGGAATCACAAGGCCATTAGGTGAGTTATTCAATGGACGATTTAAGTTTGACGTGTTGCAAGATCATCGTGACTCGGCTACAATTCCTATTACATTTTGTGAATCTTGTAGCCCCCCAAATTTATCAAGCCGCGTGTCTGCGGGGTGCTATCTAACCCTTTTGCGGGTCCTTTAATGTGTTAATAACAAGCTTAGGGGATTTTCGGAAAACTAATATTGGTGTGGCCAATATTATTTACTAGCGAACAATTATTTTCATTCGATTAGAAATATAGTACAACCTTGATATAACGGAGTAATACGGGGAAGGGGGTGTCTGATATATGAAATTTTTTTTATTTGTGGCTGAGCTAAATCATAATATCAATAATAATGTGTAGCTGGAGCTGTTAGGCGAATTCTATCAATTTCTCTAAGTTGAATTTCTGAAGTTCTGTTGCAGATTTTTGAGACTTCAACTTTTTGAAAATTTTGACAGTTTTGGTGGTTTGATTTTCGTTTCTTTCAAAGGTGCTGGTGGGATTGGGGTTGGTGCAGTGGATGGAACTAGGGTTGGAGTTGAGATGTCGGGGTTTTTGGCCATTTTGAGTGTGCCAGATTTCTTGTTATTAGCAACTATCGTAATATCACAACTTCTCAAAGTTCTCTACATCAGCGCTTCAAACCAACATAAAGAACTGACTTCCAAGCCGATAAAATTTTATGAAAGAAAGCATGCTGAATTAAAGGGCAGGCAATAACAGATGTTTCAGTCCTCACGCATAATCATTGCTGCACAGTGAGCTTTTTACAAAGTTGCTCTTCAAATTGCTAAGACTAAAAAGGAAGTAAGGATGTTTCCTTCGAAATGCTGGGAGAGCAGACCGCAAGAAAGTGGCACAAGTAGCATTCTCAAATGACACCCTAGCTCGTCAAATTCACGACCTCGCCTATGGTATTGAAGATCAGTTAATAGAACAAATAAAAATATCTAAATATTTTGCTTTGTAACTTGACGAATCTATAGATCTTGCTGGTGAGGCAATTCTATTGGTGTATGTGAGATTTGAACAGAATGGTGACCTGCAGGAAGAGTTTTTCTTTTCGATTTCACTGCCAACAAAAACCAGAAATACTCAAAGCTGTAACAGATTACGTAGTCAATAATTGTGGATTGGAACTCAAATTTTGTGTAATGTTCTGACGGGGCTACTGCAATGATGGGACGACATTCTGGAGTAGTTACACAGATTAAAAAGTTTGTATCTGAATGAATTCAGCGGGAAAATCTGGCAACAAAGAAAAGTGAAATTAGCAATCGTGAAGATTGCTAATTTGATTATGGCAAATGCTTTGAACTCGCGTTTATTTGCTGCATTATGCGATGCAATGGGAGCTGATCATAAGGAGCTCTTGTTACATGCTGAGGTTGGTTGTCCAAAGGAAAAGTCGTTTCAAGGCTATTCGACCTTCGGAACGACCTATCAGAGTTCAAAAAATAAAATTCGGCTCAATTTTCCCTTAATGTAAATTGGGTGGCCAAGTTCACTTATTTGGCTGACATCTTTGCCATCTTTAATGATGTAAATTATCCATGTTGCAAGTAAATGAAATTTTGAATATAGAAATAAAACACAGATGTGACCTTTACACTTGCATAAATTTAATTTATATCAGTACCGGTTTCGAAGTTTTCGAAACGATGATGGAGTGAAAACTTCGAAACCGGTACTGATATAAATTAAATTTTATGCAAGTGGAAAGGTCACATCTGTGTTTTAGGTATTTCTATATTCAAAATCTTTAATGATCTTAATACCCCGATGCAAGGAAGGATGGTTTCCTGTTTTACCATTGCAGACAAAATCGATGGACAGAAACGAAAACTTAAAGCATGGAAAGATCGTTTATTAAGAAAGTGTTATGGCATGTTTGACAACGTAGAGACATTCATCCATGATGCAAGAGAGATGTTACGTCTCTAAAAAAAGTTATTAGTGAACATTTGTCGAAATTGGAAGAACGTTTCGAAGTTTCGTCCTTTCATTGCAACAAACGGCAATTTACCAGTTGTCATAGAAAATAAATTGTTGGAGCTCGTAGCTGACGAAGGCTTAAAACTTGCATACTTGCATCTTTTTGGTTACAAGTTAAAACAGAATATCCTGAGCTCTCAGACATTGCCATGAAGAAACTACTTCCTTTTTACACGACTTACCTCTGTGAGGTCGGATTTTCAATAATGAGTGTAATTAAAACAAAATATAGAAATAGTATGATCTATTTCGTGTGGCGCTGTCATCAATTCAACCACGAATAGAAAAACTGGTCAAAAATAAGCAGGTTGGGAAAATTGGGTTCGTTTTATATAAATGTTGCCAATAGTCCCTAGTCCTACTTACATTAAAAGTTCACTGCAACTGAATATGATACCGGTCCGCAACACATTGGGACAAAAAAATGCCGCTACATTAGATAATTTAGGAAGTACTGCTCTACATTATATGCAAGAATATATGCTGATTACCAGAACATTTCAACGCTGCCAAACCAAAACGTCATAAATGGCATACCGTTGAACATGATTTTTAAATCTGCATCCAACAGTTAAAGCGACATAACCGCTAGGTTGATACCACCTTGATACAAATTTGCACAGTTATCAAGAATATATGACTCAATCAAGCTGAAGTCGCTTGTGGTCGAGGCGCTAAATTGATACTACCTTGATGTAAACCTGCACAGTTTTTAAGAATATATGACTGAATCATGCCGAAGTCGCTTGTGGCCGAGGCGCTAGGTTGATATCACCTTGATACAAATTTTCACAGTTATCAAGAATATATGTATAACTTAATCAAGTCGAGGTCGCTTGCTGCCGAGGCGCTAGGTTCATACGACCTTGATACAAATTTGCACAGTTTTCAAGAATATATGATTTAATCAAGCCGAGGTTGGTTGCGGCCGAGGCGCTAGGTTGATACCATTTTGATAAAAATTTGCACAGTTATCAAGAATATATGTACATATAACTTAATCAAGCCGAGGTCGTTTGCGGTCGAGGCGCTAGATTGATACCACCTTGATACGATCCTACACAGTTTTGAAGAATATATAAAATTATTAATAATAATAGGGAATAGAGAATAGGGAATAGAATTAGAATAATAATAATCTCGGCGGATAGAAACTGACTCCCGACCTGTTTTGACGAAGCTGTGGTTTAAATATAATTTTATTATATAGATATTCCGGAATTCCAGAGACCACAATTCTGTGGAACCAAACTATAAACCAGCCTCTTTAAGTTTATAAGAAATTCTTTCAAATTTTCGAATTCCATAGATAAATCTAAGACAACTGTTTTGTACTCTCTGTATACTTCGTGAAGTGACCGCATCAATAGCGCCATGATATATAGCAGACCTAAAGTTAAAATGTGAGAGCACAAATGCGTCACACAAACTTATTTTCACTTTTATGGGTAGGTATGACCGATGCGGATAGAGAATTCGCAAATTGCTGTAAGATCTTTTAATATACATTGCAATATGTTGCTTAAATCTAAAATTATTGTCTAAAGTCCAACCAAGACACTTAGCCTCTGAAACTCTTTTAATTAACGTATCATTCAACTTAATAGCCTAGTCAGGAGCAGCAACACGCTTTTGACTGCTAAAACACATCCACATAGATTTGTCAGGGTTTATTTTTATGTGATGGTAAGAAGCAAGAGTAAATATTTTCTCAAGATCTTTGTTTATATTATATTCAACAACACCACTATTCGCATCCACATAAGAAGCGTACAGTTGTGCATCATCTGTATAAGAGTTAATCGTACAAAACTGAATAAATTTGGTGAACTGCGAAGTATATAAAGAAAATAAGATAGGACCCAACACAGAACCTTGTGGAACACCGCTTGTTATTGCCAAATCAAAATAGATACTGTGTCTTCACTAAATCGCAAATATCGAAATAATTTACAAATAAGAGTATGGAAAACAACGGTATTCATTTCTCTGTCAAGAGCTATCAGCAAATCATGTTTTAAATTCAGCATTGATGTAGTGCCCACACCTAAAGCCCGATTGCTGCGATGGGAGTAAACCCTTCAGTTCTACATACTCTGCAAACTGTATCTTCATAATCTATTCTAAAATTTTGGAAAGGACAGGGAGCACATTAATAGGCCGCAAGTCGCCATATTCCTGTGGGTCACCCTTCTTGGGCAGCGGAACAACCACAGCACGCTTCCATTCCATGGGAAATACATGTTCAGTTAAACAACAGTTTAGTATATGAGTTAAATATGGCAAAACAGTCGGGCAAGACATTCTGATCATGTCAATGGAGACACCATCCAACTGCAGATGAGGCAATAAAATTAATCATCTCCAACACCAAAGAGACCTCCACTGGTTTAAAAGAAAAGTCATTTTTAGAACTAGAACTATCATAAAGATCTAAACCAGACCCTTGGAAGTCTTTAACAATTTCTTTGACACTATCCACAAAATATTCATTAATCTTGCCAGGAAACTTTAAATTTGATGGCAAGGTATCATCTTTATGTAATTTAATATTCAATGACTTCAATCTGTTCCACATCTGCCCTCCATGACCAGGAATAGCAATAGAACAGGAAAAATGCTCTATTCTCCTTTTTTACAGCTGTATATGACTTAATCAAGCTGAGGTCATGTGCGGCCGAGGCGCTATCATAAAGATCTCTACCAGACCCATGGAAGTCTTTAACAATTTCTTTGACACTATCCACAAAATATTCATTAATCTTGTCAGGAAACTTTAAATTTGACGACAAGGTAGCATCTTTATG